TGTTATGGACAGGTCATGTCACTTTCACAGTCACCCAGTTAGTAATGGTGGAACTGTGCTTTGTTCCAAAAAGCCTGATGTATAATTATACTATTAATTAGTGTGCTGTCTTGCTTAGTATCAAAGAGTTTATGAGAATTACCATTAATTCTGCCTATTAAATAGATCTCCACAGAGGAGAAGAGGGTATGAGGCATGGAGGGAAAAGAAATTGGCCACAGTAAGGCTGTGTTAACCTATAAGTGTCCCTGAAAGCCCCACGTCCATTTCTGATATGCTACAGATATATGTATCTTGAAAAAACTCTCTTGGTTATTCCAGAGTGAGTAAATCTGTCTGCCATCACCTTCTCAGTACTCTTCCCACACATTCTCCTCACATACCTGGAGAACCACTGGTCTTTCTGGCTTGGGACTTGGACACATTAACCAAAGTGTTATAGGAATTATGAGATTGACAGGTATAGGTAGATTTCTTCTGGTATCTTCAGTTGTAAACTGGTCTAGGGTCTCTGAGTAGGATCTTGGTCTTGAATATGCTTAAATATGCCAGATTGAGCAGAACTGGGCAGAAAGGGCTGACTTGATCTTGTATTTAGCTTTGTACTTGTCTCAAGTTATCTGATATAGTCTTCCATTGGACATTTGTAAACTCTGGGCTTGTCAGTTCCCTGGACCATTTCATCCCCTGTCTGGATTTTGAGTTGAATTGGCCTGGTCTCTGTTTTAGATAAAATAAATATTTCGTTCTCAAGGCTTTGAGTTCTTGTGATAATCTGGGATGGATTTTTTAGGATATGCTAGTATGAATTATAGATTATTCTCTTGTCTGAGTCCTTGCAGGAATGTGCTCTTCATACGGCTTGTTGTGTTCGGCTTTGGGCTTTGGCTAGACTCTAGCTGAGTTGGGTTAAAAGGGGATTGGGTGATTAAACTTTATGCTGGGTTTGGTTTGGCTTGGGATGGACTAGAGTGGTCTGTGGACTTAGCTGACCTGAGTTGTGAACCAGATTAAACAGAATCTGTCTCTGGGCTGACATGGACTGATATATGAAATTGGCTAATTTTTTCAGGGCTCTGGATTGATCAGAGTTGGGTTGGGGCTGTGTTAAGTGAGTCTTACCTCTGCATTTGGGTGGCTGTTAATAAGGCTTTAGGGTGAGATCTTGGATTGCCCTAAATTAAGGAATGTATTAGACTGAATTTATTTTAAAGCTAGACTTGACTAGACTTTGGATAGGGTTATTAATGGAATATTGGGCTCAACAAGGCTCTGATTGTTTCTGGGCTAAAGCTGTGAACGACCTGGCCTACGGAACGCCATCAAAGTATCCCGCCTTAGACCACAGTTCTGCCTCTGGGTTTAAAGTTATTACCAGTACCTTTGCTTTGCTGGTGACCAAAAGCTATTATTTACTTGATTCAGATTCTTTAGAAATTTTGTTTTTCCAGACTATAAATTGTTTCTGGGAATGCTCTCTTGACTTTTTGCAAATGGTGGTTCTATATAGGACAAGCATGAAGAAAATCTCATAACAATGAAAAGAGACTATTTTTACTAAGCAATGGTTTGCCTATGGGGTGCCACCAAAGCCCAAGCATCAGTGGGACTTCCAAGAATTTGGCAAACACTAGACCTATCTAATTGAAAAAAAAAAAAAAAAAAGTGGTGGAGAGTGTCAGATCTGTTCATAATGTAGATAAATATTTCTAAGAAAAAAAATTCCCAAGTTTTCTTGGATAGTCTGTGTTATCTGGAGCATTTTCCCTAACCTTTGCCAAGACCCAAGACAAATGGTGCTTTGGTGTCCAATGAGATTCTTGGAGGAATAGATGGGAATGTTATAAAGACAGCAAACTTTGTTTTTGACAGCTTGACCAAATGGGCTCAGTCACTTGTGCAGAGAGTGAGGCACTGGAGGCTGTTAGATAGGCAGGTCATATTTAACAATTTCTATGTCAAAAAAGGAAGTCTGGCAAAGTCAGGTAGAACAATAAGTAGGGTGCAGGATTAAAGTCTTAATATGATCAGATAAGACAAATTCTCCAATCTTTAGGAGGCAGGGAACTTGCAATTCCTGGCATCCTTAAGTATCTTGGGATCCTTTCTTGTAGCATATAAAACACTTAAAAATTCACAGGTTACCCTCTTATTTCCCTCTCTTCTTAAAAGAAGAGTTCCCCCTTCCCAGTAACCCAATGCAATTTAACATCCCCCTCTACTACTCCACTGCAATGCTCCTTGGTGACACAACAACACTTGTGTCAAATCCACAGGATTTTCTCAAGGCTTATCCTCTTGACTCCACAACATGTGGCACTGTTGACTGCTTCTCCAAGAAGCTCTTTCCTTTTTTGGCTTCCAGGTTACCATTCAAACAATTCCACATGCAAGTGTAATTTGCCTTCTTTAACACCAGAAATATCTGTCCATAGCCCCAACATCACCATTTATATTGATCTTCCACTGACTTTAGTTTGAGAGGTAGAGGCATTTCTTCTGAAACTCACATATCTATCTTTATGGACCTTGGGAAGGCCAGTAGATCTTTTCCAGAACACCGGGGTGCTTGGAAGGGATTAGAAGCTTGGATATCCTCAGTCCAATCAGAGCACTGAGGGGTCTTTTAAAAAGATGCTAACATTTGCATAAGGGGATCTTGATAATTGGATATCTCTGAGTTGTAAAATTAATATAAGAAATACTAGCAGGAACCCATTGAAGACTCTTCTCAAGTCCTCAAACCTCAGGCGACTGATCTTCTTCTCCCTTTTCTCTATGTGTGGTAATTATAGGACAGCTAAATCCCAATAACCAAAGAAAATGTTTCTAATTCTCCTCCTGCATACTAGCTGAGCCACCATGTTGGAATCAAACCAGGGGCTTCATTTACACCATTATAGACTCTGGATATCTTCGTTCTACTTCAACCTTCTCTCGGAATGACCGTATCTCCATAGCTCAATGTCAAGGTAACTTCATGGGCATATTTGAAAGACACTTCCTCATAGTGAGTAAGGCTGGCACAAAACCCTGAAGTGGAGTTCTCTGGGCTAAAGGGAGAAGATAAAGCCAATGTAAGATCTAGAGATGATCAACTTGTATTAATAAATCTCTTTTTAAAATATTGGAAGAAGGAGGAGGCAGCATGGACATTCAAATGTCTGAATCCCTTTAATTACCCCTCTGTCCTCTAAAGCATCATCTTTGTCCCAGGGGAGACTTTTCTACTCACTCTCCTTCCCCATAACTTTGTTTCATATTGAATTTCCTTCCCCTTTTGGAAGCTGTGCCCTCACCTGTTTTTAATAATGGTGTCTCCAACTTTGAAGAGCTCTGTTAGAACACTTCTGATTCCCTTCCACACTAACTTCCTAAACAGTTTTGTCTGCAAAGCTCTGAGACATTCCTCTGTCACCCAGACGCTAAAGGACCTAAACCATCTCTAGGGCATGAAGGTGAGAGAAGGCACTCTTTTTTTTTTTTAATAAATTTATTTAAAAATTAGTTTCAAGTATACAGTACACTGGTTAGACATCTATAATGTTCATAAAACGATCCCTCCAATTGCTCCCTCCCTTCCCCGGGCCCTCCACTTAGCCATCATATTAAATCTAACTGCATTCCCTCTGTCATGCTCCCCATCCCTGTGCCCAACTATCAACTAATTTGTACTTCTTTAACCCTTCACCCCATTCTCCCAGCCTCCCAATCCCCCTCCCCTCTGTCTGACACCAAATTGTCCACTATATTTGTGAGTCCATTTTTGATTAGTTTGTTCTTTTTGTTCAAGAAGGCATTCTTAATGCTTTCCTGATTCCTCCTGTCCCACAAATCTTTTTCCACATTCAAGCCCTTTCCTATTCTTTGCCAACTCTGTCACTCAAAAATGTTCTCTCCATTGTTTTCCTATCTCATATACCTTGCCTTTTCTAATCAATTCTCTGGTCTTCATGCTTTCATTAACCCATTTAATTTTTATAGATCTTCTCACCTTCTTTTTCATTATAGAGCTTCAATGAGACCGGGATGAGGTTTCAATCCTTTGGGGATGGAGAAGTTATGGAAAAGGAAGACTTGCACAGGTTAGAGTCTTAATCTCCCCTAATTATTTTTTCTTGAGAGCAATAATTCACAAACTATGGGTGTCAATAGATGTTACTTGAAGAAAACAGTTTCGTGGTCAAGTAGGTCTGAGAAATAGAAATAGACAATTTTTTCCCTAAAAACAGAATATAATTCTCAGTTTTAACATGATAATAGAAAGGCTAGCTCAAGACTTCCTTGCCAGTCCCAAACTCTTCGAAAGGTCCATACTCTTGTAAGCTGTTTACATCTTCTGTCCTCCATCAAAGACAGGCTGCAAAAAGTCAAAGTTCACAGACTGAAAAGACGAACTATCACAGAATTTCTAAAATCTGGAGATGGAGATAGTCAAGAATGCTCAGCCTTCCGTGCAGGGAGGGAGGAGGCTTCTCTGTGCGACTGTTCATGCTGTTCTCAGCTACATAACTAGACCCCAAAAGTCTCTTTTATGATCTGCTCTAAGAGTACAGTAAAGTCGCTTGGATGGTTCAGCTCATAAAGACTCCGTTCTTCTCTGCTTAATTTGCACAATGGCTTGTTTGCAAAGATGCCAGTCTGGGGTGGGAGCCACCGCGTTTGGAGGAAATAAGTTCTTATCAAATGTTTACAGTGAACTCATCAACATACGTAAGACCGGAGAGGAAAGGACAGGGACGAAAAGGCTATAGAACAAGAAAGGATTAAAAATGGAGAAGAAGTAATGGGGGAAAAGGGGAAGGTGCGTGAGAAAAAGGGGTAAGAAAACGCACCGTCACGCCCCCGCGAACGCCAAGGAGCGCTTTCGCCCTCTTCCGCCACAAGGTGGCATCCTTTGAACTTTCTTCGCCCAACAAAATAAGAAAGGGGGTAAAGAGGAGGGAGAAAAGGCAAAGCACTCCCCCAATCAAGAACAATTTGAAAACCCACCCCATAATATTTTAAATCTGGGACAAAGAACTGTCTGGACGGACCTGCTTCAACTGCAAAACCTCAGCGCAGCCTCGCGAGCGGCCGGCCGGCCCGAGTCAGGAGCAGCCCCTTTAAAAAAAAGCCGAGTACAGTATTGGGATTCTTGAAACCTGAAACCTAGAAACAGAATCGAAGCGGAAACCAGAAGGAAAACCTTGAACTCCTCCAGACAATTGCTTCCGGGGAGTTTCAAGAGAGCGAGGGGGAATAAAGGGCCCGAGAGGAGGGCCCCTCGCATGGCGCGTCCCTGAGGGTCCTGGCGAGTTCGAGGAGCGTGGGAAGGAGAGGACCCGATCTTCTCCCTGGGCTGCAGGTCATGGCCACCGTGAAGCAGAAAGCCCTCGGCATTGGCTTCAGATGTCTCTCTTTGGCCACTTTTGTGCTCATCTGCGCTGGGCATGGGGGCCGCAGGGAGGAAGGGGGTCCAGCCTGCTACGGGGGATTTGACCTGTACTTCATTTTGGACAAGTAAGTGCCATGAGTTGTTCCGCCCTGGGCTGAGCTGATGATGCTTTCTCCCCGGACTGGGCTTGTTGGCAGCGTCGCTTTTGGGACAGGCGCGCCTGTCCAGGGACCAAGAAGAACCGCGGGAGGCGGCCGCGGGTCCCAGCGCTGCGCCTTTGTCAGGGGAGTGCGCCTCCCCATCCTTCTTCTCTGCTGCGGGAGCCAGGAGGGGAGGCGTCGCTCCTTATTGCGGGGACAAACTTCTTTTCTGCCCTGCTTTCTGTAATCGAGGAGAGTGCCAGGGAATGTGAGGATGCTGTTAACCTACTACTACATTTTTGTGAATCCTTCTCATTTGTTGTAGAAACCTTGGTGAGAAAGGCTTGCTTAGGAGAGGCAGAACTTTCGCGCACGTATAAAGTAAGAGGCATGGGCTGTTTAAAGTCACTCCGTTGCTTTTAAAAATCGCTGTCCTACGTAATGCATTATCTTTGTTCCTAATAATATACATACTGACTGGGCAGTTAGAGAAAAGTATAGGCAGATTTCTCAACCTCGACGCTAATGAGTTTTAGGCTGGGGAATTCTTTGTCGGTAGGGCCATCCTGTGCAATTGTAGGGTGTTTAGCAGCAATTCCGGGTCTCTACCCACCACCGCCAGAGGTGATACCAGGACCACCCCTCCTCTCTCACCCCCCTCTTCCAGCCCCTAGTCCCGCAGCGGTGACAAAATATGTCTCCAGACGTTGCTAAAAGTCCCCTGCGGGTCAAAAGCCCCTCGACTTCAGAACCCCTCGTGTAGGAGAATTCAAGTTCTTGGCAAGTTGACTGGTGGGCGACCAGGGAGGTGCAGGAGCCCGGTTTCCTTACTAAAATGGATAGTGCTTAGGGATTGTGCTGAAGGTAGATCTGAACTCTGACCGATTAAACACTTCCCAAATCCCCTTAGATTTGCCAAGCCGCAGCCTTTAAGGAATCTCCATGCTATCTACAAAAAAACAGCTTCGACAATAAAAAGCCCCTCAGAGAAGATCCATACTCGTTAAAACTGTTTGAGCTCCCCAGCGCCAGGAGAGGCGCTTGCTGTTACAGTGGTGGGGAGATGAATTTCACAGACTGGAAAGTATTTGGGAGTTGGAAAAAGAGTCCTGCAAAATAAGCTGGCCAGCTAGAAACCAAATGTGCTTTGCAGTTGCCCCTGGAGTTTGATTTTTCCGTAAAGGCTGTTTTGAACTCCAGATTCTTTGGATGAAAAAGTGAGATCTTTTTCTCGCAGATTTATGAGAAGGAGGTGGATACTGAAAATATACTCCAATGCTAAGAAATGGAATTTCTTTTGTTACTTTTAGTGGCAAGGAGCACCAGCTCACAGATTCAGAGACTGTCTGAAAAGTCAGAGATGCCCATCATTGTGCTAAAAAATAATAATAATAATAAAATAAAATCCAGTTCAGAAGGATATACAGGAAAACATGAAAAAATGGACAGAATCACCGGGTCCTTGAGTGTAATGACTCCATATTGTAGAGATAACCAATTTTCCTCAGATCAGTTTATAAGTTCAATTAAATTTTTCAATCAAAGTTCTGGAAGAATTTATTTTGGTGGTGAGAAGAATTTAACAAAATGATTCTAGGTATATGTTAGAGGAAAAAAAACAGGCTAAAAAGAGCTAAAACATTTTCTGAAAAGAATAATGAAAAATACCTTCAAATATTATAATGTAATATAAAGCAAATTAATAAAAACAGGATGGCAAAGGTCAAAGGATAGGTGGAAAGAGTAGAAAAATCTAGAAATAGACCCAAGGCTATGTAAGTATTTAATGAAAGTTTAAATCAGTGGGGAATTAATTTATTATTTTAAAAAATATTCTTGGACAAGTGGTTGGTAACATGGAAAAAGAAAAAGGTTATATTTATGCTTCATGCCACACACCAGAATGAGTTCCAGAAGGACTGAAAATTTAAATGTTTAAAATGAAATTATTAGAGAACTTGAAGAAATTTCAGATGAATATTACTGTAATCTTAGATTTAGAGTTTTTATAACAGAGCAGAAACAATAGAGAAAACTATGAAAAGATTTAAACATAGTAAAATTTTAAATTTCTGTTAAGGAAAAAATGCCATCAACAAAAGATCATAACAAGTTACACAAAGTTTTGCAATATAAATTACTCTTTAAATATGTAAACCAGTTTTTAAAAGATCATCCCAATAAAAAGTAGACTTATTATGTAAATAAATCACAATATATGAGTCAATAAATAAAAAAGTTCAACTATACTAGTAATCAAAGAAATGAAAAATCAAAATATAATTAAGTTGGCAAAGATTTTTAAAGAATTACAATAGTTAGTCTTGGTCAACTTGTGAGAGGTAGGCATTGTCGTGTTTCACTAAAGAAAATATAAACTTGTACAGTTTTTCTAGACTTGTGCTGTCCGATAGAACTTTGTTATGGTGGAAATGTTATATATCTGCATTGTCCAATACGGTTGCCACTAGCGATACGTGGTTACCGAGCACTTGAAACGTGGCTAGTGCAATAGAGAAAGGGAACTTTTTGTTTTATTTAAGTTCGATTAAATTTAAATAGCCACACGTGGCTACCATACTGGATAGCGAAGACAAGAAGATAATTTAGCAACATCTATCAAATGCTTTTTAAAAATGGGGTTCTACTTTTCCATCTTACAATTCCATGTCTAAAGAGAAAATCCAAGATAGCAACATAGAAATGCCTATACGTCTATTCATAGCAGTGCTGTTTATAATAATAAAGCTGAAAATTAGCTAAATGTCCAACAACAGGAGATTTATTGAGTAAGGCATGATAAATGTATAGTATTGAATATGAATCCTATGCATGTTTGTGAGATATTTTAAGAAAAATATTTAATGCTCATAATATACTCAGGTGAAATTACAACAACCAAACATGATGTATACATTATAATTCTACCTTTGTAAAAAAGCCAAACGTGTGTGTGTGTGTATGTGTGTGTGTGTGTGTGTGTGTTTACCCAATATCTAATAGTATTTCTCTCTAGAAGATAAGACTTTCGCATTTTGTTTTTATGCTTTTCTGGATTCTCAAAATATTTTACCATGAACATATGTTACTTTTATGTTCAACAAAAATAAATTGCTTTGAGTTTTTGAAAAATCATTTAGAGTGTGAGGAGGATCTCTAACCAGCGTGCTGAGCTCTCAGCCCTTTGCGATTATAGAGGATGCTGCTTCTTTTATATTTAATCCTGGAATAAATTTCTAAATGCACCAAAGGATACTTTGCAGCACATCAGAGACCCCAAAATGCTCTGGGAAACAAATGGTGGGAAGACCTCTACAGGCACCTACCTTTACATTTAAGTGGGCTCCTCTGACTTCCTTTAGTTGTCCCATTGCTTGAAGAGAGGGATACTTTTGTACCAAATGAAAAACTTGCTAGAACTTGGTATGACAGCATGCACAACTCCAGCTTGCCATCTCCTTCCAGGTTAATTTATGTGATTGTGGAGCCCAGAGCTGGGGGATAGGCCAAAAGGCTGGTAGGCTAACAGGATCCTTGGTGGGCCCTAAAGACATAGTCTTCTGTCCTAGAAAGAACTTCCTCAAACAGTGCTGTCCAGCACCCAACTACAGCAGAGTGGGAAGGGGAAAAAATGCTGACTCGTTTCTTCCTTGGGCTTCTAAGATCCTTTGGCCATCAAGACGCTGTCTACAAGCTGAAACCAGAGGGTCGCAGGACACTAGATTCACCATTCTTCTCCCCACCCCTCAACTCCCTTTTCCTCGGCGGATGGTTCTCTTCTTTTCCATGACATTAAATCTCAGCTCATTTCAGCTTTAAGCAGGATGCATCTCTGGCCTGGAAGGAACCCAGATTGTGCATTTAATGGAACGTCATGTTTTCTCAACCAGGAGCGAAGCTTTCATAATGACAACCTAGCCTGCCACAGTAACACAATAGGGCATTATTAGCGGCTTTGGCGACAGAGTTGGCGGACCGAGCTTCCCAAGGTTTTATACCGATGGAATTTCATGTTCATTTAAACATGCTTTTCTAGTTACAGTTGGGAAAAGTAGATTGCTGGGAATTCAATCAAGGATTTAAAAAGTCAGATTTGGAAAGGCCCCTATCCGGAGAAAAACAGTCAAAAAGCCTCCTTTAAGTCTTCCAGGGGCTCCTATAAGATTAAGGTACCCAGTTGACCAACCCACAGACATGAACGTACCTTTCCCCTCTCTCACAGGGCTCTTCTGTTATTATATTGTATACTTCGGTATCATCTATTGGTCTATTTTATACAGAGCTATTAGTCACTTACCTGGAAAAAGGGGGTTCTTCATCACGAGTCCCAGGGGAGTGCTGATTATATTGATGTGTGTCCTAAAGACTTCCAAAGTGGGACAGTGGCGTAGGGAGCAGAAGGAAAGGAGGCGACAGTGAGCTGGAGGGTGCCTGTAAGCACTGAAGCTTTACTTGTAGGACTCGCCAAAGCCACAGCCTGTCACCCAGTAAATCCCTACATTTGTAGAGGTCCCCCTACAGGCTTACCATGTGCTCTTCTCTGTTAAAGCCTCTGTACTCCTCCCTCTGCCACTTCCTTTTTGACCAGCACCAGTTTTCTTTCTCTTTACCCCATGCAAATGACCCCGTCTTGCCACTCAGAATTCTAACCCCAGGACCCACAATTGGATGATCCTGTGGTGGTGATAATCTTTATGGCTTGTTATTATGTGTTATATTAGGGACATGGTCATTAAACAGATTTTTATAGCACTTGCCTGGGAACCAGTTATAGAACCAGGTATAGCATTGTTTTTCAGGAAAAAATACCTTCTGGATTCCCAACCTCTAACTTACAAAAGAAATCTTTAGTGCTAGAACTAAAATCTCCCAACACTTATGCCATCTCACAACTGCCCCAAAGACAACCTTGCTTGGTAGCTAGGGCAAACACTACTGTCCCTACCTTACAGACGAGAAAACTGTTCAATCTTTGTCAACCCACT